TCCCGAAAACCACGATACGGTTGCCGTAGTGTAGGGTTCCGAAAATTTCGAGCGCCGGCGGTTCTTTAACGTTCACCTAAATCTAGGCGCACGGTCCTCCAACGTTTTGGACCCGTCGAAACGCGGCCGCCGCAGGCGAGTCAACCGCCGTTACCAGTAGACCACAGCGGTGGACGATTACAAATTAGCCGATGATGCAGCCCGCTCAGCCCATGAAGGAACCCGTGTAGTCCCGATTTCTCTATCAAGCAATGATGCAGCAAGACAACTTTACCTGCTGGCTCAAGATCTCACACGCACGTTCTGGTCGTCTACCAGCTTTCAAGGGTGTCAATTTTATGAACTGGATCCTTCGCTCAAGCTAAAGCTACCACCACAACTTTCCCGCTCCGATGCGACACTGTTATGCCGCCTTTGGTTGGGTGTTGCATTTACAAAGGTGTACTCCTTTCGCATTGGTATGGCAGACACTCCTACATGCGACTACTGCGGAGCTGGAGAGACTATCGAACACGTCCTGTGCAGCTGCGCTTGCTACGACACACAGCGATGCCAGCTCCGGATGGTTTTGAATCAACTTGACCCCGGACCATTTTGTGTGCAGAGGATACTAGGACCTTGGGCGTCTGCCTCAGTTGCGCAGAAAGCGACTAAAGCCCTGCTACTTTACCTAAAGTCAACAAACCTGAGCGACCGCCTGTAGACTGTGCGTGCTCCCCGAGTGTGCTCGTGATTGTGTGCACCTTCTCATCTCTCTGCAACCTCTTTTCTCCCCTTTATCCCTTCCCCAGTGCAGGGTAGCAAACCGGATGTGCGCCTGGTTAACCTCCCTGCCTTTCCTTGCATCTTTATCTCTCTCTTAAGGTTGTCATTTGTGCAACCACTGTTATTAGTTCCAATGTTATTACTTGCTTTCTATTTTTATTAGTTATTAGTTATTAGTTGCTTTGTAGTTGCTTTGTATTGTGATAGAGTTATCACCCACTATAGCATTTTTTCCTATGTACCCCCCTTACTCTATGCTCCGTAATAGAGCCTGTAAGGTATCTTTAAATAAATAAATAAATAAATAAATAAATAAATAAATAAATACGATGGTATTCGGTAGTATGCCTCTATAGTGCACCCTTGGATATGTGATTTCTCTGTCTCCCTTACAGAATTAATTAGACGGAGAAATAGAAGAGTAAAAACACTGTGCTAGTCTGTCGCGGATGTAAAATACACGTACCGACAGACACGCTCACAAACCCCTGCAGGTACGAACACAGCCGCACGGTCCTCTCACCCATGGACTCTTAAAGTCACCTGTCAGGAGCTACACTCCGTACGTGAAAAAGCGCCTGTTAGTTCTCTCCCTCGTTCTGTTTGTCACTCTTCATTTAAGCTATCTATAGTTGGCTGCATCCTTTGTTATTTGGTTTCTATTTTTCCTTATTTTCTTCGTTCATCGTCGCACGTTTGCCGACTGCATCGAATGCTTCTTTTACGGGCCTCTTCGTATCTTTGTTTCGCGTTTATCGTGTAGCCGCCTCGTGCCCCACTTGTGTGTATATAGCTTGCCTCTTTTTTTTTCGTTGTTTTCGCTGCTTTTGAAGGCACGTGCCGCTTCGCTCTGGATGTATACGAGAAGCTGTGCACGCACCTGCACAACCAAACCGACAAGTATGTTGCGGCGTTAGCACCTATACTGCTCGGCTGGGGGGTCGCTTCTCCGCTCGACAAACCTGCAACTTTGGTTCGTTGAATGTGTCCAGCTCGCCAATCTATCCGGCGCACGCTGAAGCGGAGGTAGGGCGTTATCGAAGTCAGTGGAAAAGATACCCTTTTTTTTATGGAACCACGTCATAATTCTTCAACAGTCAAAGGTGTCGTAGTTGCTGAAGTGGAGGTACGGCGTTATCGAAATCAGTGGAAAAGATACCCTTTCTTTATGGAACCACGTCATAATTCTTCAACAGTCAAAGGTGTCGTAGTTGCTGAAGTGGAGGTACGGCGTTATCGAAATCAGTGGAAAAGACACCCTTTCTTTATGGAACCACGTCATAATTCTTCAACAGTCAAAGGTGTCGTAGTTAGAGAAGCTACAGCTCTGTCGGTGGTGCGGGACATAGTGCCAATTTAGTGTTGCGTGACTGGACTCCGT